TAACAAGATGAGACTATTGAGTTGGATTAGAGCGGCCTGTGTCACCAGCTTCATAATAAACCAGCAATTTTACAAAAAGCCCCATAGTAGCTCTATAAAAAAAACACAGTCAATATTTCAAGGCCGTGGCAACGCCATCATGCATAGATGTGGGCAACTTTACTCAGCCCGAGTGGCATTACATTTGTGGTACTAAAGCTGAGTTCAGTGCAATTAGAGATTGCAAAGAGATGAGAGACTGTCAGTAAGAAACATACTTTAAGTGACTAATCACCAGGGCTAGAACAAATAATCAGTATATTTTGATACTGTCTGGTGATATGTTATAATTACATGGGCACTTATTCCACAGCATGCTCTCTTACTTTACTGAGGCATTTCCTTACTTTCCTGCAGACATTTCTGAAATCTTACTTTGTACGCTGTCCATAAAAACTAAAATCTTCTCAAGTAGCAGGTCTGTTGGAGGATTGCACAATATTATTATATCAAACAAACCCGGAGCTCTAAACATAAGGCACATGGAATGTCAGTTTACTCATTTACTTGGCAGCTGAAGTAACCTGCCATGCTATGACAAACATTAGATTATAGAGGACAGTCAACACAGTTCATGTGGGCGACTCGCTCATTCTGCACGCAATGCTGCCAAAGGTAAGGGCTTCTTTATCTTCTGTTGTGGTCTCACCTGCCAACATCATATGAAATCATTCAAAACTTCAGCTTGACTTTATACCTCACAAATACTAAGCAACATGAGATGAGGCATGCTGCATCTTAACATATTTGAATAAAACTAACTAACACAAAATTCACAGTTGAATACACATCATGGTTTTGGGGTCAGGGTTCAGCATGTTTTCAGTAGAGCAAGAAAAACAAAACAGAATGTATATACATTTATTTTGAAAAGCAGTAACAGTGTTGGCTCATTGGCCTTAAATCCTGCTGTCAAAATGGAAAACAAATGGATGGGCTGAGTATGGTACAGGGGCAGGTGTGTGGTTCAGAAGCATACCCCAGTAGACTTGGTGTTAATGCTCCCTTCCTGGTTATTTTTTTACCTTTTGTCAACACACACAGCTCACCAAACCGCCTTGGAATGACACAGTAGGGTGTGTTTGAGTATAGCTGCAACCAACAGTAGATTATTAGAGTTCTTTTTTTTTAGGTTTGTCATTCTTAGGTGGACATACTTTAAAATCACTTTTTGGAAGAATTGGTGCACAGTTCACTGGTTACTGTTACCTGCTTTACTGTATCTTTTGTTATAGGATCATTTACAGATGCATGTATTTATGTTCTAAATACATGTATATCACAGGCTAACTGGCAACTTGCTTTTTTAAAATTGTTTTTAGTAATAAAAATAGTCAGAAAACACCCAGAGAAACAGAATTCCTTCCTTCCTTCTATGAATATGGAAAAGGAATTCAGAAATACTGACTATTATCAGCCTGTATAACTTACCTACACTGCATAAATAATTATGAAAATAAAAATCTGTCACCTTGAAATCCAGACTTGTCTTCAAATGTGCAAGATGTTTTTTCAGTCTCCTTTGTAAGTCCAGAGTCATTAGCAAGGTGTCCTTCTGACTGATAAGACCTCACTGCAGTTAAAATCTGTCTAGTCTCCATTTCCCTGCATCGGTGGCACTTCCTTACTTGGAATTCGCTTTGACTGGGCTTCTTCTAAGTTATTTGGGAGATAATGTAAGATATTTAACATGCAGTAGACTATGATGCCTTTAAGTTCACTTAAGCCCATTGATTGATTATTTTGACTGTTATCACCAGGAAGATGTATAGGACCAGCAAATTAGATTTGATCACTTACAACTGCTCCTCAGCCACCAGGTAATCAATGCAGTCTAATTATTGTGCAGTTGCTCTGCCCCTTTTCCCTTTTTTTTCCTTTATCATCCTCTCACATTGCTGTTGTATTCTCCTTTCTCTGCTTTCATCTTTATTTGCTGTTTTTCCTCCTTTGCCACCATGTTTCCTGAGCTGTTGCTTATCTCCTTTGACAGTTTTCCAAGTTCCTTTGGTGTAAACATCACATAGATACACACAACAGAGACACACTTTATCGAATTAAAAGCTACTGTCTAGATCTCTTTGGCTTACTCACAAGGTTATGATGGATTTGGAGCCGCTCACAACTTGTGGCACGAAGAAACACAGGCGCTCACAAGCACACAGTGAGTATTATGTGTGTTTTTGGAAGACAGTAAAGGACAAATACATGTATCATTTCTAGCAGGATAGGTAGAAGGAGTGGGTATATACTTGTTGTGAATAAAAGAGAGCTGTCCAATGATGTGTGAAAGAGAAGCTACAATTTGTCTTCATTCACCACCCCTACCTAAGATATCAAATACACTTGTACACACACACACACACACAGATAGACAAAAAACATAGCCTGTACAAATGAACAGAGCCACAAAGTGCACCAAGAAGGCCTGAGAGTAAAATAGCACTTCAATATGCTCGTCCCATTTGTCTCAATCGGCCTGCTGTCTGCTCGGTCAGTCTTAGGGCCTCAGTGGGAATACAGAATAGAATGCAGCTTTTTACACTCAGCCTCACTGCACTCTGTATCTCTCTGACCTTTGTGGCCTTGGTGCATTGACTAGATACAATGCATCATTCAGTACAATTCAGCAACATGCCTTTGCAATATTCATCCACACTACCGACCAAATTAACCTGTGGTGGAATCTACAAAGAACCACTGGACTCATTTTGTATTCAGCAGGTTTAGTACATCTCTGAACCATTAAGGTCAAAGAACTTTTATACTTAAGGTCAATATGCAAGTTTGATATAGAAACCTTAAAGGTCAAATTCAAATGCTGCAGTTTGGATCTGTTCGGTTTAGGCCACTTTAGTTCAGCTTCATTCGGTTCAATTTATTTCAAGAAGTTGCTCAAAGGGAAATTAAAAGGGAAGACATGCAAGCATGTAACATACAACTTCACTTATATTTGCAGTGCTAGATGAAAGTGTGTACTGTATAATACAGTGTCTAATAATAACAATACAACTACTAAACATCTAGCCAGTATTTGTCATAGCTCCCTCAAATTATCCTGTATTCATTGTGGGCTCTGACTGGCTAAGTACAAAGTAGCCTATACTGGCCGTTATTGATCCATTAATTGGAAAGTGGCCCGTTGTAGTGAAAGGGCTGGGTAGCATAGACAGACTGGAAGAGATGGAGGCTTAAGATCAGCCTGGACTCTAATTGGCAGGAAAGAGGTTTCTATGAAGTGGCATAATGTGCTTTTTATTGGCTATAGAGGGAGCGGGGTGGGAGGAGAGATGCCACTTCAAGTGCAACATGCATTTTCCCTTTTTGGTAAGAAAAAGCTAAAATCATGAATATAATGCTATGGAATTTAGTGGTTTCCATTTTAAGTGTTTTTCAGCAATGGTAAACACTACAATTGGATGCACCACTTCCTTAGTCTGTTGAAATGTGCACACATACATCATTTAGATAGTTGTTCTATGTGCGCATATGCAGAAAGTAAATCAAGCCATATAACAATCAAAGAAGCCCATTCTGGGCTAACAGAGTTAGGCTTATTGACAAGTTTGTCCAAGAAGTGTCCCTAGTCATAATGTACTGAAGGCGCACGTTAATATAAAGAGTTTGATCTCCCCCTTTTTCAAAATTCAGGCTGTTGTCATTTCATTGCCAAATGATTTCACACATTCATTCTTCTCCTACCCCATGGTCGGATTCCAGATTCTTTGATACATTCTGTGGGCGTTTTCATATAATCTTGGCAAAGGCTGAGGTAAAACAGTGTTTAGGTAGAGATAAAGGTCTTGGCAAAAGCATGGAAGGTCAAAGTACTGAGGTGGCCTGTCTGACCTTCAGACATGCTTTTTCATACTGAGCTACCACAGCGCACAGATGACATTGAAATACACTATTGACTGTGAGTCAAGCTGCGCATGTGAAAAACTCTGCCGCAAGGAGACTCACTAAACATTACTCACTAAACATGACATTTTATTGCTATCAATTCAAGACAGAGAGTTGAGCACTACATAGGGTAATTTTTTGTGCTTCTGTGATGAATACCACTAACACAGTATGAAAGCTATTTCTCTTGAAGGCACTGTTTCCTTCCTGCCTGTGTGTCACAGAGACTTTGAGATATTCTTGTAATAATTTTCACAACATATAAACATATTCATTAGTTTCTTCTTGTGTTTGTGGTTTACAGCATCTCTACATTTGACTACTTTTACATTAGTGCTCGTTATTAAACAAATTCCCAGGTATTTCCTGTTTGTGCAGTATACCACAATTTCATTATACTGCTGTATCTTTATGAGTGTATATGTAAGGTTTTACTGTGTCAGGGTGTGTTTATGTGTAGATGTGTGTACAAGCGTGGGTGCTTTTTCTGTCAATTCACATAGCACAAAGCCCCCAGTGTATGGTCAGGTAATCTCTAAGCAAATAAACACCATGTGGTTCAACACATACAAGCCCCAGCTCCTTACAAACAATCGGCTTCTGTGTGGGGGGAAAAGTGTTGAGGTTGACAAAGTTGGTTTCTCACAGAAATCTTGATAAAGGAGCTAGCAAATAGTATTTTATTTTCCATAGAGATATAGCTGTAATTCGGTTACTACTGTAGATGTTTATCTCACACATGGTAACTGCAGAGTTTTCTGTGCTCATCAAGACTGTCATTCCAGCAGTTATTGATTGTATGAGGTCTGCCAAATTTCATGTTCACCTCTGTGGTTTACTCTCAAACGGCTAATTGGCCTGCTTTGAGGTTAATGAAATGCTCAAATGTAAATGTAACAGAGCTCATATTCCCAGTATTTTATTTGCCCCTACTCTGTCCTCTACTGAATTTCTTATTCATAATTAAGCGTGAGGAGATCTTGTTTCATAACATGACTCCTCTCTGTAGAGCCCACTACATATTTTTTTTCCTCTCTCTCTCTCTCTCTCCTCCACAGACGGACAATTTCCCCACTGAGCCTAATTATATGACTAGCAGGCAACAGTTTGTTCAAAGGTAAGAGATGGGATCTATAACTGTCCCTACACCTCAGATCTTTTTTTTTTGTCTGTCATTTCTCTAATAATCCCAGCACAGTACTATGCCAATAGTAACTAAACTGACAGTTAATTGTACTGCATCATACAGTAACAGGGAGAGGAAGGGCATGTTTATTTAATTATGTTTAAAAGTCGGGGTGTCTATATTACGTACACTATAATCACACAGTATTCTTATTTTCAGCTTTAGTCTTTAGCAGATTGTACTACTGGTGAGGTGCAGTATTTTAGAAGCTTTTATTAAATCCCAAATCCTATTATAGTTTTTCTTGTTTTCTTTAAGCATTCAGGGATGCTCATCCGTGTTTCATTGTGTCTTATGCTTCTGCTGAGGGTTAAAAAAATAAAAAGCTTTGAGAAATTCTCTTTTTTTTTTTTTTTTTGCTTGTTTGTTTAGCAGTTCAACATTCAAAGACCCGGAGAGAGCGAGCCTCAGAGACAGTGGTCATGGAGACAGCGACCAGGCTGACAGTGACCAGGACACCAACAAAGGCTCCTGCTGCGACATGTCTGCAAAAGAAGCCCTCAAGTTGAAGGCTACAGGCGTGAAACCCCCACCTTTGGAGCAAGGTGAGTGCTCATTGGCAAGTTTGACTGCATGAAAAATGAAACTGCCATGCAAGCTAAGCACACTTAACCCAAACGAATATCAATCCATTTTCTGTGCTGCAGTTATTTGTATTATCGGCCGAGCTCTTGACTTGCCTGAACACTCACATTCTGAACCTATACTCAGCTACTTTATTCCCTGCTTTGTTCTCTGAGCTTATTTAATGTATGTATGTCTATGTGTATATTTGAAGGTGTGAGCGAGTGTGCATTCTATACACGTCCTCAGTTTATCAAAGCAGACAAGGCCATTATGTTTTTATAAGCTACTTCAGACTCACCATTTAGTCCCCCTTTCCCTGAGCACCCGTCTCTGAAACTTTGATAATGGAACATGGAAAATGACTTAGTGAGCGACAGGTGATGTAGCTTCGTGGTGTGGTGATTAAATATGAATAATTATTCTGAGCGCTGTGGGCCGGGCAGATTACACATGACATGTGTAGAACAATAACTCCCCAGATATGAATTGTTGCAGCCCTCCTTACCCTGGCCACCTTGCACGCTTGGTGCAGGGTCAGGGGAGGCAAGAAAGCCATGAGTATAAATAGGTATAGAGAGAAGTGATGGGAGGGGAGGTACAGTAAATTTCTCACTGCAGCTTCACCCAGTCATGTACCTTGGTCTGGGCCATTACCTGCTTTGCAAAACAGATATTCCTACGGAAATACATATTCACTAAAGTCTCCACACTAACAAATATGTATCTCACTGACTGGAACCAGAAGTACAGTGCTGAATACTGAACATGGATTTTTAGTAATGGTGCTATTAATCCAGGGAACAGAAGGGCTGTTTTACTCCTTGCGGAAGGACAATGACAACACTCTGTGCTGCAATATGCATGTCTGACTACTTGGGTTTTTTTTCCCATTTCTTTGGTTTTTAGAATGGGAAAAAAGCCACACACGTTGGCAAGAGAAATTGGCCAATTAAAAAGCTCCATATGTTTCTCATTTGAAGATGTTCCCCTTTAATTGTCCATGAGAAACTGAAAGGATCACACATGACAAATAGAGCAAAGAGTGTGTTGTGCACTAGCCAGTAAAACCGTCCCTATGTAACATCGTTGGTAGATGTGTACTGTCTCCCTAGGTGCCAACCAGAGCCTGTTTATCCACCTTTCTTTGTGTTGTCTTGGATCACTATCTTTTTGAAGATCTCAAATAAGAGATTTTCACAGCCATACACAAACACACACAGAAGCCTGGCAGTGCTAGAAAGTCACTGAAAAGCTGTAACCCACCTTTGCCTCTCACTCTTTGCTGCCCTCCCATTTATTCTCACCCTCTGCTGTGTTTTTACCCTCGCTCCATGACTTTTCATTTTGCTTCTCCACCTCTCCTTGTTCAGGGAAATCGATTGACGTGAGATTAGACAGTTAACTGGCTGCAGCTGGCTGTGTTTAGCCAATAACATGCAGGCTTAGATGAGCTGTGGAGGAGGGCGGGAGCAAGAGGCCAAGGCATGGTGCAAGAGCAGTGATGAGCAGTGAGGGATGGTGAACTTCACTCTGGCAGTGTTCCAGTGCATCTTTATTAAATCGCAAAGCTACCAGTTGAATGCTCCAAAGCTGAAAATCATTCCTCACTTTAAATTAATATTTACATCAGAAAACTATGACATGGTCTTCTGCCTCTCAAACTATAGCCTCATCTGTTCAGAAGCTCTGCTTTTATGTTTTATGTCCTCATGCTGTACAAGATGAATCACAATATGGTCACCTTGCTCTGACTCAGTAGGAGTCCCATCTGCTGCTTTGTCTTAAGCAGACCTACTCATGTACAGGTAATATATTATAGTAATTTTATGGCTAATTAATAAGGCTTAAACAAAAGAAAAGAAAAGTTAATAGAGAAAACTGAAACATCATTTGTTACAGGAAATGTGAAGTAATGCGATGCACTGCATATAGGAATTGCTATCTCAAACTCCCTGTGCGTAAAGACATGTGCTATACATGTAAGCACACAGGTGTGCCAGGTATACCTATTATCAGACTGAAGGAAAGCATAGCATTGGTCACCCCTGGAGACATTTTCCTGCAGACCTGTTTTCTTTATATCAGCATTTATCATCATTTATCATCTACTTCATAGGTTCCCCATAGGGTTTATAGTACCAGCCTTGTAGCCTACATTGGGTCTTCTTCCTCCTGGTTTCTGAGTTTTCCATCCTTTTTTCACTATTTATGCTTTCCTGTAGTCACAGGCATTGGTAGAACAAACACAGAACTCCCTTTGTCCATGCTCGTCATTCATCATATTCTCTGATGTTCTTTCCAGACAATATAATCCAGACATTTTTGCACCAGGGACGAGTCACAAATTGATTAATTAGCCCTGCAAAATTGGTAGCCATGTATTAATTAAGCATAAGTATATCAAATGCATTTTTTGCCAGTTTTAAGCGGCGATTAATTGATGCTTCAGTGCTCCCGCAGCAGACGTTGATACAGGCTAGTCTGGCTCCGGCAGAGCGGCTGGCAGCACATCGCTCGCCTCTGTGGAGATGACTGCCATAGTTTCTATCACGAACAGACAGGTGGCAGTGGTGTAGGGAGATGTTACCCACTGATAGCACTGTCTGAGGAAATGGAGAGGGAGGGATGGTGCAAGAAGAGGACAAAGAGCATGGAGGGATGGATGCTGTTTGACTCTACCAACTGACCTATACTAATTAGTTCCAACTGCAGTCTGCTAATCAAACCACCTTGTCCCTTGTTTTAAAAAGGAGGCATGAAATGGAATGAAGGAGGGTGTGTGTGTGTGTGTGTGTGTGTGTGTGTGTGTGTGCTTGCAGCAGACTGATAAAAATCCCTGCTCACACATCACCCCTCAGCTGGTGAATAGTTTAAATACAGGAAATGTCATGCTTTGTCACCTGCTCTTACACATGCAAACTCTTCCCAACCTCAATTCAAACATTAATGGAAATGCACACATACAGACAATGTTGGCAAGTATGTTTCCTTGTTACTAAGCAAGCTCTTTGTTTATTTGACGTACAGTTTATATATCACATGTACAGTTTTAAGGAGATGTTCTTAGAACATGTTTTCTGTTTATAAACAGAAATCAAACAGAGGTTTAGTAGCAGCATGCCATAAAATCTATCTAGTAGATTTGACATGTGACATTGGTAAATTTGGCCAAGGACCTGTTGATCGTGTTTCTATGACCTTATGGCATAATGTACTGTAGACTTTTATGCGTGTCAGGCAGCGCATTTTATATTCCTATATTTTCCATTTGTTACAAGTCTCAAAGGCTTAAAAACCTGAAGTCCTTGGGCCTATGTGAATCTTTCAAGTAAAGTTGCTGTATATAAATTAGGAAATAGTTTCAATTTAAATGACTAGTATGTGCTAGTTTTTGTTCGTTTGTTTTTCTTTTTAAACTAATAGGTTTTCTCTACCAGTCCACAGTGAGACCAAACTAATTAAATATTCAGACTTTAATCCAACTTAATATTCAACCATCTTCCTTTATGGCAGTCTTAAGACTTTAACAGTACTGTACTTTTCCAAAAGGTCTCAAGTCCCCACAATCTGAGTCTTTCCTTTTATCTGTATATTTGCAGCAATTAATTTTGAATAATCAGTGAATGTTTAATAAAAAAAGCAATTCCAAGATTAATTGACTGGTCAGAAGTCACATCAGATGCCCTTTTCACACTTGTAGCCATGGCAACCTCTTTCCTGCTCACGCTGGCCTTCAATAAACCTCTATCTGACTGTTGGAAAAGGGCATTCCATTCAACATCATTCATATTTCATGGAGAGATAAATGCACACATTTTTCATTTGGTGGGTTGAGGTGTATTACATCTGTAATTTGAATGCTTATGAATTTACATTAAAATGTAGCACAATCAGCCTGCAATGAGGTCATTATGGACACGTGTCATGTTTCTAACAAATACTTGGACTTACAGTGAATGTATAGTCGGTCACAATAATGCAAGTAATAATGAATGTGTATGTAATTTTTAGTTATTTTTATTCCCTTAAAGGCTTCTGTGTGAAATATCAAGAACTTTAGTTATGGCTGACCAACTACTCTCACTGGCCACTTCAGTTTTGGTTAATTATATGTTTATTATTGAGGTCATAGTTAAAGGCATTGTTGTATTGGACTACAATATATTCAGAGGTGTTCCTAATATTCTGACCCTCTCATGTATGTAGCTGTGGAGGGCGAAAATATATTGATACCTCTAAATATAAGGTAGCCCAGTACAATACCACCTTAAACTGTGACCCCAATAATAAACATATACATATACATTTATGACAATTTCACCAAAACATTTGAGCTTCATAAACACAGATGTTAAGGTGGAAGTGTTGCATTGAATTGCAATTAATCTTTACAGGTGTACCTAAAAAAGTGACTGCTGAGTGTACACTTTCATAGGGAAAACTGTGGATCCATGTGGCCATGGCCATTTAGTTTATAATTTCTCCTGAAGCAAGAGAAAGACAGAGAGGAAGAGAGCAAAACCCAGTTCAGACACTGCACAACTGAATCCCGAAAACAAATGAACAAACACGCAACCTGGCTGCTGAAAGTCACGCTGTTTGAACATACACGTCTTCTGAAACATTTCCAGTGGGCAGTTGGTCTCCAAAGGGGAGATGTGGCCATGAAACAGCACAGCCAGAATGTGACTCAGTCGTGTCTTGTAGACAGAGAAACTGACTAGTTGACATTTATTTATCAGATGAAAAAAAAACAATTACCCTCATGAAGGTCTAAAAGATGCTGGATTAGTGACATGAGATAAGACAAACTTTCCATTTTCATTTACTATTAATAGATCCATCTTACTTGTGACATTATATTCAATTCAGTTTTATTTGTATAGCACCAGTGACTGCTCATCAGAAACACAGCTCCAGAGCCAGGGCTACCTGCAGAAAAGCACAGGGAGAGAGGAGACACACAGTTAGTGACATG